TGGGAACGGGAGGGTTCCTCGGGAGGAGCTAGAGGCCGAAGTTATTCTGTCCCTTCAGTTTTTGGGTTGCAATATGGGGTCCAATGTCCCCAGACCACAGCAGCCTCCCCCATGCGGTCGGAGCTGACTAAAATGAGGGAGATGTTGAAGCTGCAGCAGGAACAGTTTAAACTTGCGGAGGGTCTCTTAGTGGTCCAAGGTCCGAGGCGGAGTAGTAATCCCGTTGGTCATAGCCCCCTAATTTGCAGACGTTGTCGTCAGCCAGGCCACTTTGCTAAAGATTGTGATGGGGTGTGGGTTCCTTCTCAACCCGCGGCACAGTCCCAGCAGTCGGGGAGGCAAGGTGGGCGGGTGGCATCGTCGTAAAACTAACACCCGCCGAGCTGTGGAACCAAAGTTCGGGGGGTGCCAAGCCTGGCTCAGATGGAGTCTACTGCCGTGGGAACGGCGTAATTGATCTTGTCTTGTCCGTGCATGTAATAATAGGGGAGTGCAGGTTCCGTGCTTGTTGGACACACGGTCAATGGTGTCAACTATTTCGGACCAGCACTTTGAACCCTGAGGTGCGGATAAAACTTGGATCTTGCCACTGGTTGCGGCATAAGGCTGCCAACGGGTTGGCCATCCCATATATTGGTTATTCAGGCCTTTGAGTGATTGGAGCCCTTCAGTTTTGTTAATCGTTGGGACAACGATTCCTGTTGGAGGGGTGGAATGTAGCATTATGAAACGCATGCTCCAATTTTATTGGTTTAGAGCAGTACGCCCTCCGTACGTAGGAGGGCGCTGCTGCTATAAAAGGGGAGCTCTTCTGGTAAGGAAGTAGGTTCGGGAAACAGCTGGTGCCATTATGCCGCTGCGTTTTGGTGCTGCCAGCTCGTGTCCTCAGGCTGCGTTTATGGTGCGATCGGCTCTGCTTCAACCGTGCTTGGGCATTTGGGTCAGTGTTGGGTGTGATGTCATCGCTTGCCTACTGAATCCTCGTTGCTTCTGGGCAGAGAGTTCCCTTCTGTTCAGGCGTTACTAGCGGGAGGACCGATTCCTCCGTGGTCCGGCCGGAGGCGCCGCTGTTTCGTCTTGTTTCCTTTTACTACGTTTTTAAATCAGCTGGTCGAAGGAAGTTCCCCTGGCTCGTGGCTGGAGTCCAGGAGGAAGAACAGCTGATCTGCATCGTACAGATTTTATACAGTTCTATTTTAATTTAGTTTTCTTTGTGCAGGCTGAGGCAGGAGGTGTGGGGTGTGGCCTCGGAGGTGGTGGTCCCGTGTGCGAGTGTGGTGGTGCTGGGTTCTCACGTTGGTATGAATGTTCACTGCTAGGGGTGAATCTTTTATATTTTCTCCTATTTCTGCTGGTTGGGGCTTCTCTGCCCCGAGTCACCTGCCTCCATCACTAGCCTCAGTCCAGCTTGTCAACATATTTTTGTTTGGTTTAAATTCATGGGTTCTGTTCCTGTTGTCATTAATTTTAGCATTTTTTATGATATTTTACATGTCCAGTTTTTAAAATGTATTTTAAATTGTTTCTTCTATACAATAAAATAAATTCATTGTAACTTCTGAAACCACGTCTGCTGTCAAGTGGAATGAATCTATGAGCTTTAATTCCTTGGGTGAAATTCCCAAGGTGGTGTTGTTAACTAAATTGCACTCGAGCAGGTACAATTGCCATCCTTGGCGTCAACAGGTCATAGACCACTCCCGTATTGCCACAGTAAGTTTTACTTTTGAAACAATATTTTTTCTTTAGTCAATATTTTTGTTCTGTCAATTTCTTAATTTTTGTTTGATCGTCAAAGTGTTTTTCTTGATCCTTTTAAGAAGCTGATTCAGATAGTAAGTTTTTCTTTTGAAACTATTTTTTTTCTCTCAATGTCTTAATATTTGTTTGATCTCCAGTGTTTTTCTTGATCCTATTGACACAAATCTAATCCCAAATCCTTAGACCTGAATGTTACTGAAAATCTGTGGTGTGAGTTAGAGAGCTGTCCATGCTCGGAAGCCATCAGACCTGAATGAACTAGAAATGTTTTATTAAGAAGAATGGTCCAAAAAAAACTTCAACCAGAATCCAGACTCTGGTTGGAAGCTATAGAAAAGTTTAGAGGCTGTTATTTCTGCAAAAGGAGGAGCTACTAAATACTGAGGTCATTTCTCTTTTGTGGTCCCAAATTTATGCACCTGCCTCGGCATGAGAAGAGTCAAGTGTAGCTCAGGCTGAAACTCACTCCCACCATTTATTTAAAGCACATCTGTGTCTCTAGTCTACATTGATGTTTAAGGACTTGTAGGGAAGTCAAAATAGTTTTAGTCTGGATTCTCCTTTAACCATCCTCTATCAAATGGTTTCTCTGATCACGTGACACGGCGACAGCCTTGGCTCGGGTCACCAGAAGGTGACCTCTGTGGTTGGATTTCTGCTGACGAAAGTTTTACATTGAAATTCTGTTGAAGGAAATTTGAAGACAAAATTCTGCAGTTGGATTTTTACGTAGAACACCTTCACTTGTGTGTTTTAACCTACAAAAAAAAAAAAAAACAAAGACATAATTTTACAGAATAAAAATTCAATGTTTAAAAAAAATGTCATATTCTGGTGGGACTATTTAATGTGTGTGTGAGCAAGAAACATTGTTTGATTTTCTACTGCGATGAACAATTTTATTTGATTTTATTCCTTGTTTTATTTGTAACTAAAGTAACTTTAGTGTTTTCTGAGTGTGTATTCACAGAATGGTCAAACCCGTCTTGGTCTAGTGCTGCCCTCCAAACGTCCATCCCTAGAACAGAAATGGGTCAAAGATCTTTTAATATTTTTGCTCCAGCTTCTTGGAATAAACTACAGAAGGAATTAAAGATTACTAATAAACTAAACATTTTAAAAAAGATTTCTCAAACAACACTCTAAACCAAAGGTATTCAATTCTGGTCCTGAAGGGCACGTTTTGGGCCCAATCCCAATACTTGCACTCTTGTGCCCTTCATTTACGCGTTTCCGGCCAGGGGTGCGAGTGCGTAGGGTGTCCCGATTCTCAAGTGTGGAAGTTGACCACGCCCCCTTTGCACCCTTAATCTGCACTTCACCCAAGTCCTCAGCGATGCGGTCCTCGGGCAAGGGTATTACCCACAAGTCATTGCTGCGGGAAAAAGGCCCTAGTTCCTTTTCTGAAATTATGTATTTTCTAATAAAATTAGTTCATTTTAGGAGGATTAGTTGGTGCTCTGAATGTTTTAGACAAAGTAGCAATGAAGTTAGATTTAATTCAAATGATTGCTTTATTGTTTGTTTGAAAGTTGTTAAAGGTTTTTGAAAAATGTATCACAGCGACCAGCAACACGGCATGCGTTACGGTCGATGACGCGGTGCTCCCTGTCTCAATTCGGCAATTATTTGTACACTTGTGTACTACGCACTGGAACCCTACTGCACACTTGCAGGTGCACTTTGCTGAAGACCACAGGGCGCAGAGTATTGAGATTGGACCTTAGTTTTAACTCTGCTTCAACACACCTGATTTCAATCAGCAGGTGATTAACAGGCTTCTGCAGAGCCTGATGAGCTGCAGCACGGGTGATTCAACCACTGAAACTAGTGTGTTGAAGCAGAGAACCCAGAACCAGAAATGAATATCCCTGCTCCAGAAATATGGAACTGCTTGACACATCGAATCATCGCAAACCTGTTATGATTAAATATGTTGTTGCTGTTTTTCTTTGTCCCTATTTTTTATTTTTATTTTTTTGTGATTCCCTGCCTGTTAATATTTGAGTCTAAAGGAGTCTTTCACCTGGTGAAATAAAGAAATAATGGACTTGAATAGCTGTGTTTTATTCTATCCTTGTGCAAAAATGCAGATACAAAATGTGGTTGTACGCATTGTTAGAGACAATAAAGACTTGGTTTTCCATCCATCCATTATCTGAACCCGCTTGTCCACGTAGGGTCGGGGGGGGGGGGGGGGGGGGGGGGCTCATTACACCCTGAACAGAGAGCCAGTCCATCACAGAGACTTGGTTTTAGCTTAGAATGAGCTGAGCATCATGGGATTTTTAGCCCTCTGCTACCATCTAGCGGCGTGTAGAACACATTTGCAAGCTTCACTGTCAAAAAGTCAAGGTGAATAAAATTCATGAGAATTTTGTCTACAAATAAATGGTAAATGAATTTCCAAGTTTCTTTTTTGAGTTTCTGACTTTTTGAAAAATAAATGTATTTGTTTCTGTATTGATTCAAAGATAATAAACCAAAATCCCACAGCTGTGTGTTGCTTGCCAAAACACATGAACTGAGAACAAAGTAAAAAATGTAGGCTCAATTGGGATTTAAACCTTATTTCTTGAGTCCATAATCTATCACAATAAACTGGTAAATGCATGAATTAAGTTGAGACTAGGTCTAGACCGATGTATCAGGTCTATTTACCATTTTTTATACACCAGCTGATATTTGTCCCGATTTGAAATCAGGGGCATCCACGAGCAGCCAGTGCTGTAGCAGAATTTATTTTAAATGTATTTTTACATTCACTAATAACATCTGCATAATACTCTAAATTTACTTAACTTAGGTGTCTAACTTTAACACTGAGCAATGCACACAGTTAAGATTTAACAGTAAAATTTAGATGTCCAAAACTAATTAATCTTCAGAAATATTGTGCATCTACTGATGTTATGAATGAAATTTAGCATGAAAATAAGGGGGAAAACTTCTGGATATAGGCCATAAAAATCGGCGGTACATATTGGCCATCGGCCGACCATGTCTCCTATGTCAGCATCAGTATGTCGACCTCTAATTGAGACCACTGGAAAGTTTCCTCCTTGCGATCCAGAAGTAGATATGTAAAAGCCATCAGACAAAGCTGAGCTGTTTGATCTTTTGTTTTTGCACCATGAGTGGCTTAAAGGAGGCCAAGACCACCGCAGAGCTGGCCAAGTGACTGCTGTGACTGAAAACCATTTGAAGCAAAACTGTCAATAAACACACAGACCAGCCAATAAGAGGGGTTAAAATTAGTTTTATTATTTGATAGAGCAGAAAAAAAATTCCCAAAAAAACAAATTACTTCTCCTACAATGTTGTCTATTTGCACAGCGCTGCTTTCTGCAGCGCATCAAACCCCCGACAAACGGAATGGTGATGTTGTTGCCAAACAGCAGCAGCAGCAGCGAGTAGTCAGGACAGCACAGGGTTACACTTAGCAGGGCACAAAAAGACTGGCTCATTCCAAGACAAAAGTGGGCTGCTGCTTTTTGTTACTCAGGAATGTACAGACAACCTGAAACATCTCCCAACAGGTGATCTCGATGTATGCTTGTATAACAGCAGCAGACACACTGATGCACACGTGAAACCTGGGTGTGCTGTGACCCCGGGGAAATGAAGCCGCGATGATGGACATGACATCTGTGACAAAATTCAGCGAATTTTAAGATCTCAGTTCTGAAATCTAGAATGAGAAGACCCAGCAGAATAGGGTTGTTTAAAATTAGTGATGACATCATGATCTGTGAAAATCGGTATAGTATAATAGCATCATTTAACCGATTATGTCTGTATCTTTGACTTTTCCCCAAAAGGACGCGGCGATGGAAATCCTTTTCAGTTAAACTGGACCGACCATGATATCAGAAATCAAAGAAAACGGCACATGGATGATAAATAATTATTCATGCCTAAAATCCAGGACTAGGAAATGCTGTAGCTTATCCTGTGCTGCTGCAACCTGATTGAAAATGCACTATAGCTCATGTGAAAGGCAGACGCAGCTCAACTGAATGACCCGACAGAAACCACGCACACCCTAAAACGTGCAGGCTTCTTTTGTTTTTGTTTGAACTACATTCTGAAAACTGTCCAACTTCACTCGGATCAACTGCAGCTTTTGTGGGATCTAAATGACAAATGAAAGAAAAACAAAAATAAAACTGATATCCATTCAAATGTGGGAAATGTCCTTACTAACCTTATAAATAAATTCAGTTTTTCTATAGAAGAGGGGGGGAAATGCACCACAACCTATGACTAACAGCAAAAGCGTCAATCACTTGACATTTCTTACACCCGCTCGGTTTAGCATTAAATCCAGAGAGGGTTCAAATAATCCAGAAGCCTTCTAGCAGAAGGGATTCCATTTGGCCTCCACTAGTTCTTTGGAAGGTTTATTTTACAATATTCAGTAAGAATAGTCCTCCAAACACAAGCTCCGTGTTTTTTTTTGTTTGTTTTTTTTATATATAACACAAGTTGGTGACACCTTAATCTTTACTCTTTCCCATTAAGCTTAGCAAAAAAGAAAAAGTATTTATTAAAATTAGGCCAAGACATGGAACCCAGCAGATGTAAAACCACCTCAACAGTAACATTAGCCTTAAGTTTGGACCTCGACAAGAGGCCACTTCCAAAGTGTCAGGGAGCACAAGTCCAAACACAGTAAATGACTTACAGGAAGAGAAGACAAAATCCTAACATTCAGCCATACAAAATAATCCAACACACACCCACTTCTCCAACACACACGCTGAAGGTGGCTGAGAAGAGGCAGTCTGTCTGCAGATAGAGATCTTTTTATTTTATTTTTACAGTCCTTTTCTTGAAATCTTATTAATTTTTGCAAAGCTGTAGCAGTTATTTCACGGATGGTCCTCGGAGCTCAACAATCCCTCTGATGAGGTCCTTGATCAGGTCGAGTCGGGCCAGCGGGGAGGGTCCGGCGGCTCAGAATGGGGAGGGCTGGACGTAAGGAGAACATCCTGACCCGTTTCTGAAGCAAGGAGAGCGTGGGGGTGGGGGTTGGTCTGTGGCAACTTCCTTATCAAGCAATAAAAAGAAAGGGCGGGGCTGGATATGTGGAAATCACACACACACCACTGTCAGCCCCATTCTTGGGAAAAATGTATTTAACATATTTCTGGTAATCCCTGAAGGTGTTCTCACACAACTCCAGTTTGGATAGGATTCAGATGAAGTTGGTAGAACAAGAATATGGTACAGAGGTGTAAGAACACCCCCATTCACCCGGGAAAAAAGAGGAAATCTTATTGGACGCCATCTGGGACAGAAACAGAGTCCTTAATGAGAATGGCTGTTATTGATATTAAAAAAGCTAATAGTCGAGGCGCCATTAAGGAGTAAGATTGCATTATTTCCATGTGTTTGCAGCTTGGGAGATCGAACGGGAGGGAATCATGTCCAGCAGATATTCCCGCTGACGCTCAACAGCGGAGGAGGTCTTATGAGCAGACAAACTGGGGTTCATGTAGGCCATGGTCACTCCTGTCAGGACACAAACATCAATATTACTGTGCTACATATTGATAAAGAAATCTGTGTAGCCACGTCTAATGTTATTAACCTGTGTTTCCACCGCTCTGCTTCCTCCAGGCTGCCATGGTGCCCTGGTTACTGCTGCCAGAGCTGACCTTTGCCCCCTGCTGCAGGGACAGAGCTGCATGCTTCCCTGCTCTGCCACCCAGCACAGCTGCTGTTGCTGCGTTCTGAAGCTGAGAGGAGGTAAAGGAATGGGCCACCCCGCGAGAGCTTACTGAAGACTGGAGGTTGTGTGACAGCTGACTCTGCACAGAGAACCCGACATCAGTGTAGGAAAAGTTATGTTTTACACCACCGCATCAGGAAAATGAGTCGGTCTAACCTGCTTCATGGAGGAGTGGTGTGCAGATCTGTGCTGCATGTCCGCTCTGACCTGCTTGTACTGCTGGGACACCAACACTTCACTCTTAGACAGCGAGGGAGAGGAGGACGAGGAGGTTTTAGAGCCAGAGGATGAAGAGGAGGCTGCCTGCTGGAGGATGCGCTGCTCAATCTCCTGCTCTTGTTGGAGTGCCTTAACGAAGGCGGCCTTCAGACGAGTGGTGTGCTCAGCTTTCAGGGCTTTTTTCTGATTGGATGACATGCACTGGTCACAGAGGACGGTGCCAGCTTTCTCCTTTCTCCAGCGGGAGGTAAAGTCCGTCTTGCACTGGGCACAGCTAAATGGCTCTTTGGGATTAGAGCTGGACATTGCAGCAGACGAACCCAGATTACCTACACAAGAGAACAGCACAATTACTTGAAACGGGTTTCGTCCACATTTTATGCAATTAGTTCCAACTAGGGTGGCACCGAAACCTTCTTGGCCAAAACCGAAAATGAGGAAACCAAGGCTGAACACCGAAACACAGAAAATAAATAATTATGTCTGTAATTAGAACAATAGCATTTATGGCCCTGACCTTCACACTAAGGGTTGCATGACTTTTTTAAAAGTCGACGGTCAAGTAATGAAAATCGAGTCGACTTCGACTAGTCGTTGATGACATCATACACCTGAAGCGGCACCGGGGGTGGGGGGGTGGGGGGGACGACGACACGGTAGGTTCGCTGGAGTTTTTAACAATTAAAATTGCGCCCACATTTTCCAAGTTAACACATCTCTTTTAACAACGGTAGTTTCTGCATCCTACTTCAGCCCTCTCCCCCCTCCCCCTGCGCAGCAGCCGCAAACTCAGCCTTTCCTGCTGCTCTAAACATTAAAATAATTATTTCATTTTCTGTTCCTCACTTCTGATTACCTTCAGTGGTGTCTGTTTGTTGCAACCAGCAGGTACAAAAACTAACTTGTTATAATTTGACTATTTTTCTGTCCTGCCTGTTTATTATCTTCCTGCATCTCCTCTCAATCCTAAATAAAAACTGCTACCTGGGTTCATATATATTCACCTCATGAGTTACCTTTGAACTGCAGTTCTAAAAGATCTACCGACCACAAAAACAGCGGAGTGCCGCTGCTCGCCGGCCGACTACAACGGGACCGTTTTTGCTACAGAGTTCGTGCCGGAGTGGAGATAGTGGAATTTTGGGGGGTGCGTCACCGGAGGACAAAACAGGTGATGCGCCTCGCTTCAGGCACAAATAACAGACAGAAAACATTAAAGGAAATGAGCCGACATGAACGATCGCGTGTTTAATTTGTTTTTGAGGTGGTGACACCTGATTTGGCAGTGCTCAGGACGCAGATGTCTGGAGCGCGTCAACGATCAGAGCTTTGCATGCGCAAGCTGGTTAAGATTAGGACTGGGGTGAGGGGAAGGTAAAATTGCAAGAGGGAAAAGGTCACAGTTTGGTTAAATGTCCGTTTTACCGCCGGTGTCAGTACCGACGCTCTGGCACAGCGCGTCGCCTCCAGGGGCTCATCACCTGCTGTCTTTTCCGAGGACTGCATCTTGTCAGTCATTATCACGTGACAGCGACTAGTCGATGACAGGCATAAAAAGTCACTACAGAGCGGTGAAGTCGACTAGTTCATACAACCCCTACTTCACACCCCTGACTGTCTCTCACTTTTTATAATATAACATGCATGAATATTCCAGCAAAATAAAACTGCACTACTACTTTTAATCTCAGTATGAATGTGTGATTTTTATGAGCAAAGAGCAAGTTGCCACACGAGGACGGAGCGAGATGAACAATCTCTTTTGACCGTGTCGTTTCGGCCGAAAACCAAGGATGCACTTTTGGGTCATTTTCGACCACGAACGCTCGGCGCATCACTAGTTCCAATAATCCAACATCATTACATTTAGCTCCTAAAACTATTTATACCCACCCCTGCCATGCATCTCCAGAAGTTTTTGCACCACCTCTTCCAACCCCAGCAGGTAGATGAACTCATTGTTAGCTGCAGAGGGCAGGAAGTTGAACTCAGGAGCAGGAGGTTTGGGTGGAGGGATCTCTAGCAGCGTCTTCTCCAGCTGTTTGCGCAGGGCCAACTTAGCGGCTGCCTGCCTGCTGGCTGGAGAGTCATTGATACTGGAGTTTGGTGACACTGAAGAGCCTTTCAGGCCTGTGGAAGATGCCTACAGACACACGACAAGCTCCATATGAGAAACTGCTTTTCTAAAACCATGTTTAGAGGAAACCATCAAAGTCCTCCTGACGAATGATCCACCTCTGTGTACATGAGGGATATTCACCATGACGTTGCTGTTTGTCACATTAGCCACTCGAATGAGTCCCTGCTGAATGATCCTCTGACCCTGGACCTGGACATTGGGCACAGAAGCCCTGGGAGCCAGTAATAGCGGAGGAGGGCCCGACCCGCCATGCTGCTGATGCTGACGGAGAGTGGCTATCTGCTGGGGAGTCACTGCAATAGGCTGAGAGGAGCACAAGCACACAGACGCAGGGATCACACAAGGCAACGATAGATGTGCAAAACTAAGTGTCCTGTTAAGAAGTAAGACCAGCTGCCGCCATATGAACGCTCACCTGGGCTCCTCTGACCAGAGGCGGCATGACAATCTGGGAGTTGTGTTTAGATGGGATGTGCTGCCCACCTCGCACCAATGGTGGGGGGATCACAGTGCCTGAGCTACGACCCGTCACCTGTCAACCCGACACTCGATTACTCACAAAAAAGACAACAAGAACATTTAAACGGGTGAAAATTTACAAGCAGCGACAGAAGGAGTTGCTACCTGAAGGGCTCCTTTACTTGTTGTCATGTTACCTCTCACCAGAGGGGGCGGAGTCACCACAGAGCTAGCCTGCTGGAGGACAAAAACTCTGTTTGCACATTAGGCCTGAACGGTTTTAGGAAAAGTCTAAACGGTGGCTTTTCTTGCGGAAACTGCCATTTCAATTTGATTCATAATCTTCTTCAAATCAAGCTTCAGCACAATATTCACAATGTGGAATAAGATGTAGAAACGTGACAGGAAATGACATCATACCATCAAAATATTAAAAAGCTATTACTTTAATAAGGATAAGCTAAGAACTGCTTTCAAATGTATTTATAAACATCAAACAACCGTTTTCCTAACATCGATCACCGAGGAGGGTCATCTGGATGGTTTTCTGGAACGCCTACCTTTTATCATACTGAAGGTCATGCTTACTTTAAACTAAACTGTCATGGTGTGTGATGTCAGAATAAAATCTAATAGTTCGTAAAAAAAAGAGAAGTTGGACTTTCAAGGCCACAGAGCAGTATGGCAGTAAAATCCCTTCCCGCTGTTGCAGGAAGTCCACCTCTCTGCTCCACACTCACCTACAGTGCTGAGTGAGGGACAGAAAATAAGCGACAGATGACCGTAGCTATTAGGGGTTGCATGACTTAATTTTTTTTAAAGTCGACAGTCAAGTAATGAAAATCGAGTCAACTTCGACTAGTCGTTGATGACATCATACACCTGAAGCGGCACGGGGGGGGAACGACACGGTAGGTTCGCTGGAGTTTTTAACAATTAAAATTGCGCCCACGTTTTCTAAGTTAACACATCTCTTTTAACAACGGTAGTCTCTGCATCCTACTTCAGCCCTCTCCCCCCTCCTCCTGCACAGCAGCCGCAAACTCAGCCTTTCCTGCTGCTCTAATTATTTCATTTTCTGTTCCTCACTTCTGATTACCTTCAACGGTGTCTGTTTGTTGCAACCACCAGGTACAAAAACTAACTTGTTTTTATTTGACTATTTTTCTGATTTGGCGGTGCTCAGGACGCAGATGCCTGGAGCGCGTCAACGATCAGAGCTTTGCATGCGCACACTGGTTAAAAATTAGGACTGGGGTGAGGGGAAGGTTAAATTGCAAGAGGGAAAAGGCCACAGGTTGGTTAAATGTCCGTTTTACCGCCGGTGTCAGTACCGACGCTCTGGCACAGCGCGTCGCCTCCGCCTCCCGACGTGCAGGGGCTCATCACCTGCTGTCTTTTCCGAGGACTGCATCTTGTCAGTCATTATCACATGATAGCGACTAGTCGATGACAGGCATAAAAAGTCACTACAGAGCCGTGAAGTCGACTAGTTCATACAACCCCTAGTAGCTATAATAAAACCAGCAGTAATAAGGGGAAGGAAGACCCCAGAAAAACAACCAAATGTGCTGCTCCATCAGCTTTAGCATTTGGCTCATGTCGCTTCTTCTTAAGAGTCACTAAAGAGTAATAATGATGAGGTTTCCTGTGATGAAGGAACCATAAAGTTTTACGAGAACCTTCGTATCACTAAACGATTCCTGAATCACCAAGTTGTACCTTCTGGACGGTGCTCTCCTTCTGGATCTGACTCTGGCGTAGTTTTTTAAGGAGGACGAGTTTGGCCTCTTGGAGTCTCAGCTCCTCCTTCAGCTGTTTGATGATGCGCTCTCTCTCCTCAGGTGAACTCTTCTGCAAGCAAACAACAGTAAAAACGACAGATGCAGTTTAATGAAACAGGGCGATTTCAGAAGGTTCTAAAGGAAATAAAGCCTGTGAAAGTGTTGCACGAGTTCATTCCTACCATGAGTTTATCTGTGTCGGTCTTGGTTAAGCAGTGTCCATTCATGAGAGGACTGGATGGCTCATTGTCTGATAGCACAATCACATCGTCTGATGAAGGAGGCTGACGCGCTTTCTTAATATCACTAAAAGAAGAAGCGTTGAGTTCGTCATTCTATTGAAATTCTTCAGTTTACCGATCCACAACAGAACAATTCAAATTTACGGTTTAACCCACAAGATGGCAGCATAAGACAAGGATACTTTCATCCCTGTTGTGCTGACACACACACACACACACACACACACACACACACACACACACACACACACACACACACACACACACACAAAGACAGCAAGAAGCAAGAGATCAATATTGAGGTAATGGCGGCAGGGAAGATTGGAACGACCCATTATCTCCTGCGGAAGGTAACATCAACAGCATTCTCACAGAAACGCAGTCTGAGAAAGAAAAATGCTAATCGAGACCCAACTAATGCTCCTGATGTTGGCTTTTGGAGTTAATAAATTGGTATGGTGCATCTCATGACGGCATGAAGAAGAACAGAGGTGGCGAGCAGCAGTAGCGCTCCTAAAGGCTGATCATGGAAACACTGAACACGGGTGTGCATGTAAAACATGGCAGCTTGTATCACAGTGGGTGTCCTTAAGGTTCAGGTAGACTGGGCCGAGGTGAAGCTAGCTTAGATAAAGCTTGGTAAGAAGGTCTCAGAGGTAGTAGCCCTGTGTGTCAAACTCTGAAGTGAAGTAATACATGCATTCAATCAAGTTATATAACTGTTCGGACGTCATTGAGCAAGAAGCTTCGGGGCATCCAGTCAGACCCAGTTCATCACCCAAACAAGGCCTCGCCCTCCCCTACCTCTGTGGCGAGGCCTGTGGCCTAGCCGGATCAGCACAGCCTGGGCCTCGGCTCTCCCCTCCCTCCCAGCTGCCCGACATCAGAGTCACAAGCGGAGCCCAGTGGAAGTCCGCAGGAGCCTCTGGAGAGGGTGACAGTGAGGGGGGGAGGGGAATGCATGGCCAGGAGCCAACCTATTGTGTACACTCACTTTACCACTTCACACACCCCTCCCCCATCTTTACTTGTTCATCTTTTATACTCCAACTCACCGAGTCAGTTCAGTTGTGATCCATTTTCACACACTCTGAAGTCACATCTCTTCAACAACCCCATTCAGTCTCACACACGCACGCACGCACGCACGCACGCACACACACACACACACACACACACACACACACACACACACACACACACACACACACACACACACACACACACACACACACACACACACACACACACACACACACACACACACACACACACACACACACACACACACACACACACACACACACACACACACACACAATAACCATGAGAGACTTTTACAGTCAAAATTAAACTTTTAGCAGCTGTTGTCTAAAACATACACCAAACAATAAATGGACTACACAAGTTCTTCCAGTAAACGACTCTATGGATGTGTTTTGTGCATAAAGAGCTGCGACAAAAACTAGGATTACTGCCTTGACGCCTGAATGAAGCAGTTTTTCACCTTCTACTCACGATAAAACTAAATAAAAAATAATAAAATGAGCAACATCACAGAGGCTTGAAGAGCTCTCAAACCCGTTATGGCAATCCCCGCATTTTGCTCCCATCGTGACACACACTAGCTGGTGGTTGCTACCAACTATTGGGAACAGCTTACACAAGCATCACAACACACGCCAGCTTAGTTATGTAAGGTCCAGTGTTTCTGCATGCCTCGGCTTCCCTGATCATGGCTTCGAGCTGACCCCACTAAAGGACTGCTGAATCAGTCGGTTGGAGGTGCAGACGGATCCTCCATTCAGAGTGCAGTGTAATACAGCTCAGAGCCAATTCCAGCTACACTCGTCTCTTTAAGGTAATGAAAGAGCAGGGCTTTAACGGGCATGCTGCTGGAAAGTGGACAGAGTAGGAATCGAATGTCATAAAGAGTAAAGGAAGGACAACTAACCTGGCGCGCTTTCAGTTTCATTCAGTTTTTCATCGCTGGCTTTGACCAACCAAGTTTATCTTATAAACAATAAAACAGTCATCTCACAGAGAGGAAGCCCATAATAACAGGCTGAGGGTTAAGCTAGGGCCAAAGGTGACACTGGTGTGTAATTATGAGGCACCACAGGCTAAGCCAACACACTTGCTGCTCAATCGCCTCTGTCCCACTTTTTACTCCTATCACATCAGTAGCATGTGTTTATTGCTCTACCAAACACGTACGCATGCACGCACGCACACACACACACACGCACACACACACACACGTCACATGACATCAGGCATTTCTCTGTGTGGTCATGTGACACACCCACCACTCCTCCTGGCCCCTCCTTCCTCCAACTGTTCCTTCCAACATGGAAACCATGGCAACGGCCAGTTGGAACCAGTTTGTGACACATAGCCTTCATTTTGTGAGAAGTGCGAGGCAGAGTTCAGGTGCTGCTGTGGGAGAAAATGGAGCCCAGGCCTTCAGGAGCCTCAAAGTTTTCAGAACAGGGCAGGCTGCTGGCAACCACACAGCGACTTCCTGTATGACTCCTGTCAGACCACTCGTTAGAGTTTAGTGAGAAACCCGAAACTCCTATAGACACAGCTCTGTGTTAAACCAGCCGCTGTGCATGAACGCATGACACCCAAGACCTACTGTTCCATAAATGGGCCTTGAAAAATGAAGTCAAAAATCAAGTTTTTGTGATGATTCAACTTCAGTTAAGCACACCAAAATATAAAGGCTAGCCAAACGTACCTCTTACATCTTATAGACCCGGTCATAAACTGGGTTGTAAGCAGATTTGTGGCTTTTTAAACAGATGGAAACACTCGTAAAGAGTTTACTGTGGACAAAACCAGCTGACTATGCAATATCAAGGCCCAGAGATCAAGGATCTACAGAAAATTTTAGTGTTTATTGAAATCTTTCAGGGTTGGAAACAAACTAAAACATAACAACATATGACGATATCTTCTCAGGTAGGGTTGGGCATTGTTGGACTTTGAACAATTCCAACTCCGATTCCAAATCCTCATTTCGATTCCGGTTCCTATCGATTCCCGATTCAGACTCTTTCAAGACATGACATGCTTTAAATGATCCAGCTAACCACAGGTCCCACTTGATGAAATAATCTTAACTTCAACATGAACTTTAATTCTATGAACAATAACATCACTTTCATTTGGACAAAAACACGTTTTTGAAAGAAAAAAGAAAAAGACTTGCAGCACAACCAGTGTGTGTTTTTATTTCTGCAGTGAGACAAACTCACCTCACACATCCAGAGTTTGTTCTTTAAAGCTTCTACTAAATCCACCGTGTTGATGTATTTGAACAAGTTTCCTCTACGCTGCAGGAATTAAAGTTCACATTACAGAGTAAAAGTTCGGCAGACGCGTTTGTTTAGATTTGGCAGCTGCGCGCCGGGTGGGGGGGAGGGGGGCGGTGCTGCACACAGACAGCGGGTGTCATCAGCTCTGAAAAGCGTTGATCACAATTTGCAGATCACGTTTATTTCTCACGGAGATCGGCCGCAGATTCCTCTTCCGCTCGGCATACTAAGAATCGAAATAAAAAACTTTGAACGATTCCAGAAAAAACTAACAGTTGTTCCTGGTTCCAATCGATGCCCAACCCTATTCTCCGGTAGTCTGTTTTTCATGACAAACACATTTTAAACCTCTACATCAGAAAAACAGCAGAGGTCAAGGTCAATCTCTCCTCACCTTTTAGATGTGCTCATGTCAACAGGCTCATCTCCAGCTTGGACCTCCACCTTTATGGTAGCCTTCACCTCCCCGGCCTTTAGGATGCTTGCTGCTACCTTAGCAGCCTGCTCGTTCTTCAGCTTGATGTCGTCGGCTCCAGATCCCACTAGGGCCAGCGGAGTCCCAACAGCATCACCTTTCTCCAGCTTTACCCGCTTACTGTCCATGTCCCCCAGGGGACTAGCAATAGTTGCATGGTCCCTCTCCAGAGCCCGTTTCTGGCTGCGCGTTTGACGCACAGCCTCTTCCGACATGACTTCTCTCACCCTGGAGATGGAGACAATACAAATTATTACAAAAAGGTGGAAACTGCTTTTAAAAATACAGACAAATAAGAAAACGGGACATGGTTGGGAAGAGAGAAAAAAATACAAACCCTTTAAAAGACAGAATTGACATTTTACAACCAGTTACACTGCTGTATGAATAAAAATGCTTCTTATGAGTAGAGCTGTTATCTCCTGTATGGCCAGTATATTTTTATTGCTGAGCACATCAACTGATAGAGATTATCACTTAGAGATCATTTAAGAAAGGAGAAGCCCTTAGAACCTTGTGAGGTTAAATTTGGGTCCAGATACTTTGACTCAAGTCCATACAGGGTCAGAAAGGAGTCAATACGATGGATACTGACCTTAGCAGCAGCCTTTGGCAGAGGGGCAGAGAGTCCAAAGAGTGACTACAGAAGCTAAACCCAATCAGCTAATCTGATTCCTCATCTAAAGGCTTTCATGAAGCCCCAACAAAAGGTACGTGACACAATTAGGTAGAGGCACACCGATTCTGGTTCTGAAGGCCAATACCAATTTCTGATTCTTGTGTCAGATTTCATATTAACTCATTCACTGCCATTGACGACTAAAGTCGTCATTTTAAATCCAACCTTTCACTGCCAATGACGACTAATCAAATGATTAACTTATATAGATCTGTTACATAAACGCGTGAGGGGAGGGGGGTTGGGTGAAAAATAAATAAATAAATAAAGGGGAAAAGGGAACAAGTCTATGTATTAGGGCTGCACAATATATCGAAAAATTATCGTCATCGTGATAACCCCGGCTTTCCACAGGAGCCGTCAGCAGCACGTTACTGCAGCAGCACGTCATAGCTGCTGATAGGAACCGCTGTGGTCAACAGAACCTTTTCCACCGGAGCCGTCGGCAGCCGTCAGCAGCGCGAGTCGGCCGCGTCTCAGGAGCAGCATGTCGCGGCCTTTACGCGCCGGTTCCATTTTCTACGCGCGACGCCTCTGAAATGGGTCAAGTTCGACATTTTTGGGGAAGGAAAGACAGGAAATCTGACGCGGAAATGGAGAGAAGCTACCGAGATTTTCAGAATAAAGAACGTACTGCCTTCCGGTTGCTTTACTTTTAAAAAAGGTTACTAACTGTGCGGCCCCGTGAGAAGTTATCACCTAGCTAGCGGTCTCCTTTGTTTTTCAGGTCCGTATTGGCGATTATCAAACGGACAGAACATAAAACACAAACCATGTTGTAATTTTCTCCTGCTTGTTGTTGTGTTTACTGACGAAGTCACTCGTGTGACTTCGTGCTCTGTCGTGACAGCTGCTCCCCTGCTGCTTCGCGTCTCGTGGGAAGGGCCAAGCAGCAGCTTACGCGAGCAAGACGTGCTGCTGCAGTAACGTGCTGCTGACGGCTCCCGTGGAAACCCGGGGTAACAGGACGTGCGATTGGCCCATCGCAAAGCATGGAAAACTAGGGCTGTAGCGAAGCCTCAACGACGTCGACGGCTCGATTCTAAAAATTTGTCAACGTCAGATCCGGAAGTCGACGCACCGCGCCCACTTGTTGCATCCCCAGGAGTTTGTAAATAGAGGAGGAATCTGCCTGTTCTTCCTCTAGTTCGCCCTCTTCTCCGCCTTCACTTACATCTCCGCCAAATACCGAAGACCTGGAACAACGTCCGTCCACCACTAGATTATTTTCCTGTTTTGCCCCTTCGTCTCCCGGCAACGGACAACAACTTCCGGGGTCAGATGCGCTGCTTCGTCTCTACCGCAGATGTAGAACATCACCGGGAGCGTTTCTCCCTTCATTAAGGAGCTTCTTTCAGACATTAGGAGAGCTGGTTTGGTGGTAGCAGTCTCTCCTATGTGCTCGTCTGTTTGCTGCTGGGTGTTTTTGGTTTATTTAAACTTGGTAACTTGAACTTAAGGTTGGTAAAGCTACTGTTAGCATTTTCGCTAACAGCTTCTTGCGTTGGGATAAGCTGTTACGTTTTGGTTTAGAGTTAATCTTTTTTGTGGTGTAGATCTCCCTTTTATTACATTTAGAGTGTTGTGGGTTTTCGGTTTAGTGTAAAATATCACCTTGAGTTTGGTTTAACCGCCCAGTTTAGAGTTTGGACCTTTGGAGATTCTTATTTTGGTCCAAAACCCAGTAATCTTTGCCCAGTGGGACATCCCTAGTTATTTGTACTTTGTTTTAATTCCCCACAGGCAGAATTAGTTTTATTATTCCCAACCTGTGGATGGAAAGGTTTGTTTTTTTGTAGTTGTAAATAAACCTGATCATCATTTTAACTTTTAAATCCCGTTATTGTCCCTTCCTTTTTGCACACGAGCCAAACTCCCCAGGAAGAGTCGTAACATCACTCGCCTCACGCTCATAAGTGACCAAAACAATGCAGCATGGAGACACTTCATCTTTTACCACCTCTCAGGCAGCAGCCTGCACTCCCAAGTTCTACACGTCACCAGAACATAACCAACCACAACACAATAAAAGCAGTGTTATACAAAATGGAAGGCCTGTAGTGTTTATTCTCTTACAGTAAGAATTTATCAATTTTTTTTGAGAAATTTATTTGAGATTTTCTGGTTTTTGTTAATTGTGCAATAGAAAAATAATCATTAGATTAATTTTCTAAACAGTGATTAGAATAGTCGACTATTCGAAAAAAATAATCGTCAGAATAATCGTTTTAAAAATAATTGTTTACCCCCAGCCCTACGAAAAACGGCGATAAATATTTGGTTCAAACATTTCCATCCGTGTCATACATCAACTTTTTGTAAACCAGCTCTGTTGTTTACACGGAAGTATTATTTGACCAATCAAATGTAGCCCTTCTGATATGCGGCCAATCAGATGGGTCCGTTCACGTAATACGCCCGCCCCCTACGTAGACCCTTTTGGAAAGCAACACCCGAACATTTGCGGCGCCGTTCCCTTGTTCATCATGCTAGCTCAGAGCAACGAACGCACTTTGTGCTGAGGTTTCTGGAATCAGCGCTGCTTTCAAATGTGAACGTGACTCCGCTCAGTGTCAGTCATTTTTACCGGGCTGACTCCGACAAGTGCCGGTGAACCAACCCACCTTCATCCTTCATGTCGCTAGTGTTGCACCGGGTGGTGATGTTAGCCCCAGGCTCCGGTTAGCTTCCAGCTAAAAGGCTACAGCACTCTCCTCCCAGTCCCACCCTGCTAAAGAGGGCCTGGAAAAGTTCCCCCACACATCAAAGTGATTTTTCATTTATGAGCTTTTATAACCTTGTTAATCAGGATAGTTAATTTGCTGCTGCACATAAACTGTCAGTCAGAAGCTCTGCTAGCCGGTTATCTTAAGAGATGCTAGTTCAATTTGTTAGCTTGTTATTAGAATCATAGTTGCAGTTTCATCATCTGAGCTGCTTTTTAAGATCTAGGTAAACTTGTTCAATTTGGGGTTAAAAACAAACATTTTCACATATTTTCCATGTAGTTTTTTGCTAGTTCCTCTTCTGAAAGGTAGACAATTGTTTTTCTCTTTCCCTCAAAAAAATCTTAATATTCTCCTAGTTTGGCCCAGCACAGATCACTTCCCAATAGCAGCAACAGCCTTATATCATAACCACATAAGTGGAGAAAATGTTCAGTAGCAATGAGAGAATTTGCTGTTGCATTTAAGTGATGTTAACTATTATTTAACATTTAAACTTACTTTCTGATGTTTTTTATTTATTCAAAAACCCTGGTAAGGGATGCTTTTCTGTATTTGGAGCATCAGAAAAAGTTTTATGGTGGTGGTGATGTTTTAAAGTCACTGAGAAACTGCATGCAGGCAGTTTGTTGTTTTGCTGCTAATACAGTAGCAGGTGCAGCTGCATATTTTTGCAATAAAAATGTTATGTTGTAATGGAATTCATGCATTAGTTTTTGTTTGCTTTGAACCCAGAGCAGACGTCACACGCCAGACGACATCAACACTGCATACTTTAGTATTTGTTCATTTATCGTGAGTAATATCGATATCGCAATATTAAACACTGTTATCGAATATCGCAGGTTTTCCTAATATCGTGCAGCCCTAGTATGTATGTATATATGTATATAACTTTATGCTTCTTTCTGTGTAACTTGTTTTCTCTTTTTTTCAATTCATGGGTTGAGGTTGTGTTGGCCAACCAGTCCAGAAACTATATTGTTCAAATTTTTTAAGAATCATATATTATGATTGTTTCATTTGTATTAATGTTATTTTAGTGAAAAAGGGCAGATAACATAAGTTTTTCTTCTTTCTGTCCCCTTTTTCATTTTGGCTTTTAGCAATAAAGTTTTGTATTTTTATTTTAATGTCAATAAATGAAAATAAAGTTGAAAAAAAATTGCAATTTTTTACTGTTTGAGCATCGGAACGAGCCCCCGCGCTGAGAGAACAAACACCTCAGCCCCGAAGCCTTTCTTCATCCGCATGCGTCACACGTCACATGATCAGGAAGCAGAACATCCATGTGTTAGATCGTTTTGGGCCGTTCCTGTAAAAAAAAGTGAGGTGCGAACCGGAATAGCGTCTGCCGATCACAATTTGACAACGGATTATTAAAGAAGGGATAATGCTTGAAATGCGAGGATTCTTCCTGATGTAAGAGGTGAGTCTCCGCTTTGTTTTGGCATCAACAACATCCTAGCGCGCAACGTTCTGTGACTCTTAAAAAAAACAGTAAAAACGGTGAGAAAAGCTGGCAGCGAAGGCCGTTAGCGGTCAGGAAACCGCTGGCAGTGAATGAGTTAATGCTCAACGTAACTACTTTTTGTCCAAACTGGTTACAAATAAAGACTTTTGATTCGCTTACTAATGAACTTTTCACTACAGATGCTGCCATGTATAGATGTCCAACTCAAAGACGTCTCCCGTCCCTCTGTCTGAATCCTGAACGTTAATCCACATCTAACCAAGTAAAGCAAGAGCACAGAATAAGAGACCCACTTTGATTTTCTGGAGGGGGAAGAAATTACACATAAGGAGCACAACAGCACTGAACA